CTATGAGTCGGGGCCGACTCGACGGCACATAACAACAACAACAATATGTATATGTATGTATACACACACATACACATAGGAGGTAGGAGTTCTGGTAGTGTAGTGCCTAAGGCACTTTGACTGCTCACCAGAAGGCTGGCAGTTCAAACCCAGAAGCCACTCCTCAGAAGGAAGATTGGGCAATGTATTTCCATAGTGATACTGCCTCAGAAGCCCAAAGAGGGGTTGCTATGAGTCATATCTGACTGAACAGCACATAACAACAGCAACAACGGGTATACACACACACACACATGTGTATGTATGTATGTGTATACATACATACATACACATACATATATTTAAGGAAAAAAGGACTGAAGAAGGGGAGATTACCAGAGAAAATAATAGAGCCAATAGCTTATCTGAGAGCTGCCTTCATGCATGTATTTGGCCTGGCACGTTCTTGTGCTGTAGTACACTTGGTATCAAGGTCGCACAGAATGGATACTTTGAGCACACATGCAAAAGTGGCTCCCTGTCCAATTTTCCTTAGCACATAGGCTTAAGACAATGCCCGACTTCCCAAAGACCTTGTGGCAGTGTCTTCCCTTTCTAGTGAATGTATGATTTATGTTCTGTCAACAGCAGGAAGCTGCTCAAATGATCCACCCAATCCTGCTGCTGTCCCTGTAACAATTTGTTTTTCTCATTGTTTAGCGCTCCATTAGCTTCCGCAGTGAGAGCCGGCCTGACATCCTCACCTCCCGACCTTGGTCCAGAAATGCTGCCCCCTCTAGCACAAAACGAAGAGACAGCAAGCTGTGGAGTGAGACCTTCGATGTGTGTGTCAATCAGATGCTCACATCCAAGGAAATCAAACGTCAGGAGGTAAGTTTAGAACCCATGGAATTGGTGTTGTGATTTGAACACAGGTGAACAAAGAGAGCCATCCTAGGGTATAAGCTGATGTCCCCAAATCACTTCTTCATTACATTTGTAGAAGGAGGACAAATGGGGGTATCAGAGCTTATGGAAGGAATTGAGAAACCAGCATCCAGCTGAGTGGGTGTGTTCCCCACCTTAAAAAGAAATTGATGTGGAAATCTGAAACTACTAAGAAAATGAATTAGGAAGTGCTATTTTAGGATCTTGAAGTTCACAAAGATAATCAGTTTGTTATATTTTGGTAGCAACTTCTAACACATTGGCCAGTTGCTGTCAAGTTAATTTGGATACTTAGGGACCTCATGTGTATCAGAGTAGAATTTATGCTCCATAGTGTTTTCAATAGCTGATTTTTCAAAAGTGAATGACCACACCTTTCTTCCTAGGTGCCTCAGGGTGGACTCAGATCTCCAACCTTTAGGTTAATAGCCAAGCACATTAGTCATTTGTACCACCATGGACTCTTAACAACTTCTAGGATATTTTCAGATATTCAATATATGAAACATTGATTCAGCTTTGTGGAAAACTTATTTTCTGTGGAGTAAGGTTATTTTCATTGCCTGTAAGTTTTCTATATCAGTAGCCATAAATGTTTATCATAATATTATCTGTTACAGAGGCATTACTGTGTGTCAGGCTCTACTAAGCACTTCATATGAGCATCATCTAGGGAAATTCTTGGAACATCTATTTTTTGTGAAGAACCTGACTTTGATAAAAGAGGGTATCTGAAAGCTTTGATCTTTCTGGTTCAGCATTTCTTTGCTAAGAGTTTATCTGCCAGTCCCACATCTACACAGGTGAAAAGTGGTATGTGCAAGGTTATTTATTACAGCAATGTTCATGATCATACTACTATGGAAGGAGCCTGACATCTCTTACTAGGGACTCCTTAAATTAGGAGTGTCCATACATGGAATATACACAGCTATAGAAAAACATGAGAAAGTGCTGATATGGATGTATGGCATGGTGGACAAAGCAAGGCACATAGGGTATATTGTGTGCTGCCATTATATAAAGAAAGAACAATGACGCTGTGGGTGTATGTATAAATTGCCATAGTGAAAAACCTACAAGTCTGTTTAAAATGAAAAACAAAGTATTTAGTAGGGTGAAAGAGCATTGTACAAAATGGGGAAACACAGAGTTAAAATGCTCTTGACGAAATGCTCCAAGGAGCTACAGAGTTACAGAGCTTGATAAAGGCAAAAAACCACAAGTAAAGGGGGACAGCTGGCATGTTTCTGATTGATTAACATTTACAAAGTTGCAGGTGGCAGGATCTTGGTTGACCACTTTTGCAGGCGTTGACCTCTTTTGCAAAGAGGGGCTTCAGATGACAGAACATAGCTGACCACAAAGTTCCTGGAACATTTTAAAATACAGTTAATCCTAAGTACAGAGTATTGAGAAAAAGGAGGTCAGTAGATATCAATAAAACAGCAAAGCAAGGGATAATAATAAAAATGATACAATAAGACAATTATAAAAAGAATGGCTATTTAAGAAAATACTACTAAGAAGTATTCAAAGTAAATTTAAAAAAATACTGCTTGTCTGCGGAACAAACAATACTAGTTTATTTAAGTAAAGTCCAGCTCGGTTATGAACCATGTGTTATACAGGCCTGGTCCCAAGGTCTTGGGAAAAGTTGTCTACTCCAGATGTCGTCTGCTTCTGATTTCCAGGTCACTGGAATTTGAGTTGGAGTTCTTTCATGAGTTGGGTGGTTTAAACAGAAGATTTGGCTTTTCCTTCATTGTGACGCATGATCTAAAATTCCTTTTAATTTTGGTACACATGGGTTAGTAAGGAGGGCTTAAGTGAGGCCCCCTCCAGTGAGATTCTCTTGAATCCTTTAGTCGATGTCCTTTTCAATATATGTATTTTCCTGCAACAATGTTATGCATTCTCCAGCAGTTTAATTCCATTTGCCAAAAGCTTTTTTAACCTGTGAAAGATATTCTGTAGCCAACATAGAATTATTCATTACCAAAATAGCTGATTCCTACATTACCTTATGTTAATCCTTTGTTCATTCAGTCTCGTATCGTTTAATTCCATGTAATTCTGGAGCAGCAACAGCTTGAAAACATCATTAGTTTTTTATGAAAGTTTTAGAAATCTTTATTTAGTCGAAATTATCCACATCTGAAATGTTAAAATCTTTTTCATTAGTTTGATATAGTCCATTTTTGTTGAAATGTTTTAGTCAAACGTTTTCAGTGAATTTATAGTGAAGTAGAATTTTTTTTTTGTAGATGACAAATTTAATTATGACGATGGTTAATTTGAGAAGCTCTGGTGGCACTGTGGTTAAAACATTGGGCTGCTAAACAGAGGGTCATCAGTTCAAATCCACTGACAACTCCGTGGGAGAAAGATGAGTCAGTCTGCTTCTGTAAAGATTTATAGCCTTGGAAATCCTTTGGGTCACTATGAGTCAGGATCGACTTGATGGCAGCGGGTTTGGTTTTTGGTTTATGGTTAATTTATAACAATAATTTTAAAATATGAAAAACCTGATTGGAATTTCAAAAGTAATACAAAGATAAATAAAGTCAATGAAAAACTTTAGATAAAAGTATTTCTAAACATGTTGTTGTCGTTTTTATGTGCCGTCCAGTCGGACCCGACTCATAGTGACCCCTCCTTGGGTTTCCGAGGCAGTATCACTACAGAAGTAGATTGCCCCGTCTTCCTTCCGAGGAGTGGCTGGTGGATTTGAATCGCCAGCCTTCTGGTTAACAGTCAAGCGCCTTAGGCACTACGCTACCAGAGCTCCCATTTCTAAACATAGTGACTCATTTTATGTCTTAAGAGTTTTCGGTAGAACATTTAATAATCTTGAAATATAATATTAAACAATCTATTAGTATTATTAAGACCCTAAGCATTGGAATAGGAATAAATACTCTGCGGGTAAATGATATGTATTCCTAAGTTAAAATCATTGTTTTTGATGATGCTAGATTTAGAACAAATGAAGTTGTAATCAAGTTAGTAATTGAAATAATAACATCCTGACATAATATGTGCTGATTGTCTAATATTAGATAAATATTACTGAGATATGAGTTTAATCTAGAGAAAATTTGGAACTTTTCTTGACTTGGGAACATGTCTTATGGAATTTATAAACCATTTAAATTTCTTATTTTCATTACATATTTTTGTAAAATAAACTTTAGAGTGATAAAAAAAGAACATACTTATTAGACTCATACATACGTATATATGTGTGTGTGTATGTGTGTCCTTTTTCTGTGGCATAAAAGTAAAAACCTATAAATTTTAATTATAAGGAATATTAATAACTCAGTGTTTAGATTAGTAGGGTACCTAAAAACCTTAGAAATTAATTTAAGCTTATATATTATAAAATAATTATTATTGAAGTAGTTTATTTAAATGTTGTTGTTGTTGTTATATGCCGTCGAGTCAAACCTGACTCATAGCGACCCCTCCTTGGGTTTCCGAGGCAGTATCACTACGGAAGTAGGATTGCCCAACCTTCCTTCCGAGGAGTGGCTGGTGGGTTTGAACCGCCAGCCGTCTGGTTAGCAGGCAAGTGTCTTAGCCACTATGCTACCAGAGCTCCATTTTTTATTTAAAACTTTATTAATTTATTTCCAAGGTAAGCAGTTTAGTCATCTTATTGACACATATCACTCCCTTTCTTTAAAAGAACACATTTCATATAATATCTAGTTTAATTTACTTAGAAAAGTTTTGCTTTTAAGGCTGATGTTTCTTGGTCAAAACAAATTTCATTAATTCTTGATAATGTTAAAACTCACTGCCATCGCATCAGTCCCAACTCATAGCGACCACTCTTTGAGTTTCTGAGGTGGTATCACTACGGAAGTAGATTGCCCGACCTTCCTTCCAAGGAGCTGGCTGGTGCGTTTGAACCACCAGCCTTCTGGTTAGCAGTAAAATGCCTTAGGCAGAGAGTATTTACGCCACCAGAGTATTTAATTTATATAAGCACTAACTTATCATTAAACTATTCAGGGAAAGTTCTTTGAAGAACTTTTATAATCTAATTTAGTAATACCAGCTCTCATGTAGCTCACGATTACCAGTATGAACGCACACACAAACACACTGCTGTCAAGTCAGGTCCAACTCACAGCAACGCCTCCTGGGGCTTCCGAGGTGTTGTCACTACAGAGGTAGATTGCCCAGCCTTCCTTCTGAGGAGTGACTGGTGGGTTTGAACAGCCAGCTTTCTGGTTAGCAGTCAAATGCCTTAGGCACTATGCCACCAGAGCTCCCAGTAATACCAGCTAGAAGTAAGAATTATTATATGTTTGTAACTTTTTTTTTTTTTGGTGTGTTTTACAGGATTCTTTAGAGAAGTAATTTAGAATAATCAGGGTTTGTTTTATTTTCAGGCTTCATTATACCAATTCAATAAACAGTCCTTTTTTTTTTTTAAGTGTATTTTTCAAATAGACTAATTTATATTAAAATTTTTTAGAGTTACTAAAAGTCTGGACTTTTAAAAAAAAGCATTATTTTCCTGGAAGAAGGAAAAAAACGAAGGCTTAAAAAGACTGCCTTATGAGAGAAAAAACTAGTGACTGCCATTCATGACTTCCTGAGTAAAACAAAATTCAGACATAAAATAAAACAGAAAAACCTCATATATTGTTAAGAAGACAAGCAAAACTTTAGGTATATGTTACAACAACAAAATCTGTGTAGTACATTGAGGAGTTACCATTTTATTTTATATCCTTTATAAAGAATCTTGAAAATAAATACTAGTTTTTAATTCTTCTTAAGCTATACAAGTATCCATAATACATTCTTTAAAAGTTTTAATTCAAGAAGAGCTACAGGATCTCACTGCCATCAAGAGGGAAGAGCTGGGGGTGAAGTAGAGTGTGTCCATGGACCCGAGTTCCCTGTGTTGGACCTCCTTGACT